GGGTTCTGTGACGGCCCCCAAGAGGCCCCAACAGGCAACAGTCATTGGTTTTTTTTTAGGGTTTTTGACGTTCTGGGGGGTTTCCGCCTTTTCGGCTTGCCGATATTCCAACCCAGCCTCAGAAGCACCACCATCCGCTTCAAGACGTTTCAGGGGCTTTCCCCAGGGGCGCCTCGAGCACCCAGGAGGCCTCAAAGCCTCCCCAAGACACTTCCAGGACAGCCCAACAGGGCACCGAGTCGCGCCCGAGCCGCCGGAAGATCAGTCCCAGACGCTTGCGGTCGTCTCCAGTCCGCTCTCGCGAGGCGCTCCACGAAGGCTCCCAGACGGCCCAGACCGCGCCCCAGACGCTCCAAGAGGGCCCCGTGACGGCCCCTGACACGACCGGAAGGAGCACAAGTCATTGATTTTCCGAAGGTTTCACATGTTTTTGAGTTTCCGGCTTTTCGGCTTCCCGACGCTCCAACCCAGCCCCAGAAGCACCACCACCCGCTTCAAGACGGTTTAAGAGGCTTCCCCCAGGGACGCCCAGAGCACCCAAGAGGCTTCAATACCGCCCCAAGACACCTGCAGGACAACCCAAAGAGGCACCGAGTCGCCCCTGAGTCGCCGGAAAATCACTCCCAGACGCCCGCAGTCGTGTCCAGATGGCCCACGACGCTCCCGAAGCTCTCCACGAAGCTTCCCAGACGGCTCAAAACGCCCACCGGGACGCCCCGAAAGGGTGCCCAGACGGCCCCCAAGAGGGCCCCAAGAGGCACACATAGTTTGTTTTGTTTGACGTTTCGGGGGGTTCCGCCTTTTCGGCTTACCGACGCTCCAGCCCAGCCCCAGAAGCAACACCACCCGCCTCAATACGGTGTCAGGGGCTCCCCCCAGGGGCGCCCAGAGCACCCCGGAGGCCCCACAGTCGCCCCAAGACAGCTCCAGGACAGCCTAACACGGCACCGGTTCGCGCCCGAGTCGCCCCCCAAGGCGCTCCACGAACTGTCCCGGACGGCCCATACCGTCCCCCAGATGTTCCAAGCGGGTTCCGAGACGGTGTTCCAATCCCAGCACGGATCCAGGAGGAATTAGTGTTCACAAAGGTGTCTTTGAGTTCCGGCTCAACAGCATCTCGACCCCGAGCCAAGGGGCATTTACGTGCATCGCGGTAGCTCTCGGCAGCCGCAACTTGCTTGCCTGGAAGTGGGAACGGGACGGAAGAATGGCATCGGCGGTCGCACGGTTGAGGACCCTCACAGAGGCTGCGAGAGGCCTTGATTTGCTCTTCCCCTTGTGACGCTCGTCAATCCTGATCGCAGCGAAGATCTACTTCTCAGTCTCCGACCTCGACCTGATGTGAAGAGGAAGGACTAAGAAGGACAAAGAAGAAGAGGTAGCCGTGCTTTTGTGCGAAAAAGTCCCCGGCTTGGCTCAGCAAATGGAGTCGCTCATTCAGCAAGGAGCAGCTGACAGCAGCGCCGAAAGATATTCATTCCCGATTGCAAAGCAGTCACGCTACCATCTCGCCACATCGCTGGCCGCGGAGATGAGCGGCATCCAGAGGCTGAACACACATTCATTCCGCCAGCACATCGGAGAAATGATGGCAGCTCAAGCTCAGAATAGTGCGATGCTGCTCAAGATCCCCCAAGCGTCGTTCAGCTTAGAATACTTGGGGGGCCCTCAGAACCTCAGTTTTGGCCCTTCTTACGGCGTCAGAGCAGGCACCTCTTGGAAAGGCGGCAGCTTGCTCGCTGAAGATGAAGGCCATTGTCTCGGCTCAAGGATCTGAGGCAAGCTTTAGAAGCTTGGGAAGTAGTATTTCCTTCCATGAGCTGGATCTCTCCTGAGGTGTGGAGCGAATCCCCAAGCGTTTTGGAAGAAGCCAAGCAGACTGTAGTTGAGGCAATAGAGCCCCATCTGGTGGATAGTTGTGGGCACCGTGGAGCTCGAGGCCGCACTCGCGGAGCTCGACGACAAGGAAACCAAGAAGGAATCTGAGGCCGGCGGCTTCGAAGGCTCGGAAGCCCAAGTAGACAATGCGGCGAAGTGGAGCGAAGACGACAGCGACTCTGAGGCTCTAGCTGAGAGGGCCATCGCCGCAGTTAAAGTCAAGGTGCTGGGGCCACGGGGCCAGAGAAGTGCCGAAGAACGCAGCCGGCGGGAAAAAGAAGAAGCTGAAGTAGAAGAGACCGTGCTGCAAAATAAAGAGTGCACTTCCGAACGAACGCCCAAAACCGTCCTGGAGAAGCTCAAACTGCTGCCGAAGACCGCTAGGGAGCTCTTCTCCCATCTGGACTTCAAGCAGACACTCTTGAATGATGCCCTATCAGAATTATTTGAATGGCTGCCGACGAGAATCGGCAAATATGTGTCAAAGAAAGAGCACCTGGGCGAAGTGTGTAAGGAGGCCCAGTCTGTTATGGCCTGCGTTCGCAAAGCGGCTATCTTCCACAGGCGGAGGAAGGACCCAAATGGGCACTTCGCAGCTGCCAAACGGAAGGCAGAAAAAGTGAGGGGCATTTTCTTGACTCCTCGTGAGGTCTCTAAAGAAGAACAGAGTCTCGCAGTGGTAGGCCCGTCTAACTACCCGCGGCCCTCGGATGACGTCGAGGTCGCTGCCGACGCGGTGTCTGCCGCGAGTGGGCAGTTCAGCTCTAAGGCTGCAGAGATGCTCGCCACGTTTATTTAGACTCAGCAACGATGAGCTAGCGGTGGCATTGGAGCTCTTCTCTAAGCGCGGGCTCCAGTCGACCGCGGCGGGTGTAGCGCAGGTTGTGACCGGGTCTCTCGACGGTCCGCTGGCTGCCAGCACTTGCTTCAAACTTCGCAAAACGCTGGTTGAAACGATGCTCGAGCTCAGGAAGGACCCCCCCTCGCTCGACATCAGGGGGGGGGGGGGGGGCGTGCGTGATGACGCTCGCCTCGACTTGCTGGATCCGAGCGAGAACCAGAAAGAAGAGGCAGCCAAAAGACGAGCTGTTGCGACAGGAGTCGCTGGAGTCGGCCGCCGAAGTGTACCAGGCGGTGTGGCCCATAGTGCTGTGGGGCCCCCTGAGGCCGGCCCCGGGCAGGAGTTGTTCCGTGAGGCGCTTTTGCCCGGCGGCTCGAGCGCTAGGTCTGGTCTCAGGCGCGCGTGGCGGCAGTTCTGCCGTGTAGGACGCTGGTCAAAAGTGTTGTGCAAACAAGAGGGTTCCGAGACGGCGTCCAAACAGCCCCAGGACGCAAAACCAGTTTTCTTTATGCTTTGACGTTTTTGTGGGTTCCCGCCTTGTCGGCTTGCGAATGCGCCAACTCAGCCCCAGCAGTGCCGCCTGATCGCTTGAGGACGTCTTGAGGCGCTCCCCCCAGGAGCGCCCGCGCCGCCCAGGAGGCCCTGAAGCAGACTCAAGACACCTCCACAAGGCGCTCCACGAAGGCTTCCAGAGGCCCAGTCCTCACCCAGACGCTCCAAGAGGGCTCCCAGACGGACCCCGAGAAGGCCTGGAGAGGCAAGCATCATTGGTTTCCCGTAGGTTGTCGACATTTTTTTTGAGGCCCAGCCTTCCTGATTCAGAAGGTAGTATGGAAGGGGGGCAACAACCCACGAAGAACCAACGAAAACTTAAGACCGATGATCCGAGCCGTCCGACTGTAAAGAAGGCCGACGTCGTCTTCGTCGTCGTCGTCATCGTCCTCGTCCTCGTCCGTCGTCATCGTCGTCGACGTCGTCTTCGTTCATGCATTAAGATTACAGTTCGATTTCTATTGCAGCGCAAGTAGAATTTAGCTGGAACTGTGCACATCTCAGATGCAGCTGATTCCAATGAGCTTCCTCGTGGGGCCTGATTTAAACTATTTAAAAGTGAGCAGATCCCATATCCAGCTGATTCAGAAAGTATTCCAATGGGAATCTGCCCGGGATCTGATCGAAATGGTGCAGACCCCAGACCCAGCTGATTCAATTTTCTTCTTATTGTGATCTGAGTGCAACCTAGTTAGACTTGAGCAGATCCCAGATCCAGCTGATTCGAATTCGATTCCTGTTGGGATTTAAGTCGAACCTACGTGGGATGGAGCAGACCCCATATCCAGGTGATTCACATTCGATTCCTACGGGAGTATAATGAGAATACATAGAGTGCAGCGGATCCCAGCTCCAGGTGATTCTATTTTGATTCCACTTGGAATTTGGTTACAATGTATGTGGAATTGGGTCCACATTGGATTTCTGTGGCAATCTTCGTGGAGTCTACTCGGACATGAGCTGAGCACAGATCCAGCTGATTCCAACTAGTTCCTGTTGAAATGACATAATCTGGAATCTAGCAGGTCCCAAATGCAGCTGATGTCACACTGATTCCGATTCTAATCGAATTCGCATATAAATTGTATTGAGCAGATCCCATAATCAGCTGTTTCGGATTGGATCCCTATTGAAATCGATTTACTTTCTCATTCGATTCGGCAGATAACAGACCCAGCTGATTCCAGTTTGATTCCGATTGGACTATCATTGAAACTTAATTCGAATTGAGCAGACTCCATATCCAGCTGATTCCAATTGCATGCCTATTGGAATCTCACTCGAATCTAGGTGGAATTGCGTACATCCCAGATCCAGCTGTGTCCAATAGGATCCCACTTGTACTCTGATTCGAATCGGATTCGGACTTAGCATATCCCAAATCCAGTTCATTCCAGCTCGATTGCAGCGTGAGGAAACAGCGGAGGCATGATGAATAGAAAAGGTGGATGAGCAGGCGCGGATGAAAAGAACGCGGATGATCAGTGAGAGCACGAATTAAGAGTTCAACAACCGATGCAACCCGATGGATGTTTGGGAGGGGGGGGGGGCAGCGCTGTATGGCTTACTTTTGTTCATATGTGTGTGTATATATTTTTGTATATATAAATAAATATACGTGTGAACATGCATGTGTGTGTATATGTATGTATATATCTACTTGTACACACATCTACATATACATATTGCTATAAAGATACACGCCCCTCCCCGCCGCGCGGCGCGCGAGGTCGTGGAGGAGGAAGAGGAGGAAGACGTGGACTTCGACCTGTTCGGATGATGCCGCGGGCGCGGCCCGCGCCCGTCCCACGGATGCACGGCATCTGGCGACGCGCCCAAAAGGAGACACACGCTGGTCGCCGAAAGCAGGCAATGTTGTCGGCGGCGACGATAAGGGCGAGTAGCCCAGGGCGGGCATCACACGTAATCGCCTGGGAGCCTTGTCGAAGACATAGGTAATCGGCGCACTTGAATGCATGTATTGCTCCCCCAGGGGGCTATTCGCCCCTATCGTCGCCTCTGAGGTTGGATTCCCAGCTCCCGATCTGCTTTAGGCGCCTTTCTGCTCCAGGAGTCGAGCGGTGGTCCCCATCGTCCAGGGGCGGACAGAAACCCAGTCTGCTTCCAATGCCTTCCTACCTCGTGCGTCTACCAACTCCTTGTGCGACTCACCGATCGCTGGACGGTGTCTCGATGCGTTGAGCGTGGTCGTCCCGGGCCGGTTGCTTGAGGCCTCTCAGATGGGGTCCGGTGGATGGGATCGGAAGATCGCGCCGCATCCCCAATGCATCGGCGATGCGGCTCGATGCGGAGCACGATTTTCTCCATGTCGACGTCGCCCGTACATCGCCCAAGTTTCCAGTGCATCGCCGATGCATCAGCGATGCGTCGGCGACGCGGCGCGATCCTCCGACCCCATCTGCTCGGACCCCATCTTGGAGGCCTCGAGCCCAAGAATGGCTGCTTCCCAGACGGCGCAACGCGAATCGTGACGTGGCCAGGGGGGGCGGGCGGGGCCAGTCACGGACGTCATTGCGAATCATGAAAAGCTGTCCCGAACGCGGTGGATTCAGTTCTTGTTTATTCTGGTCCTCTTCCTTCCGCGCGATCGTCTTTCTGCTGCCCCTGCTCCCGCTCCTTGCGAGCTGGCACGCCGGGCGCGCAAGAGACGGTAGAAGGTAACCAGACAGGTGTACGATTCAGTCTGGCACGCCCCTCTGCAGGCGGAGCACTCAAGAACAGTAAGAAAATAGTCTGGGGACGATTTTTTGATTCTCTTTTGACTATTTTGGAGCATTTTCGGACTCTCTCTGTTTTCTTCCTCCAGAATCCCCCCGTGGGAGGACACGCCCGACCTCAGGGTACGAGAGACGAGATCGCACGACGCAATGAGAGCACCGAGGCGGCAGAGGCGAAGAGGGCGCGTCATGATCTCGGGGGGCGACATCTGTGCGTGTCCGCCGCCCCCTGGCCAGGCCCATCGTGAACCCAGGAGCTCTGCATTACGCCCTCCTGGCTTGGCCAGGAGGGCGTGGCGTACAGTCGGGGCCCTGAAGGAGCCCTTTTCGTTGGGGAGGGGCTCCGTCTTTCTTGATTCCTTCACAGTTTGCCTTGGGTTTTGCTTCGGTTTCCGATGGGAGATCGAAGTTCAACTTGTGGATCTAAGGGGCCTCGTTCCTTATTTAGGGTTCCTTGGGTCAACGCTCCGACTGTACACACTTCTGCTGGGTTCAGGATGGGCCTTGTCAGGGATCAGTTGGGGCTGGACCTAAGCGCTGTTTTGCTGGACTTCGGCTGCGTTTTGTTTTTCGTTTTGGCAGGGAGGTACAGGGAAACAGGTAGACCAAAACGAAAGACAAAACGAAAGCAACACGAAAAACGACGTTTAGGTCCAGCCCTGAGATCAGTGAATCTGTATAGATTTCGTCGCCATTTTTGATTTGCAGAAGGCGAGGCACGCCCAGACGCAGCACAAACCATTCATTTGGATCTCACTGTGCCGAACACTGTATGCATCTGCCTCTCCTGGTGATCGTTTTTTATTCATTGATTTGCCGATCGGCGCGGCCCCCCCACCCCCCCTCTCCCCCCCACCCCATGGAGTAGATCTTGGCTGTTTTTAATTTTTTTGGTGCCTGTTTCGAGCGGGTGGAGTCTCCCCGAAAGGCAGCACTCTTGCAAACAGTCGCATCAAGCAGAGGTCTGGAGCCAGACCCCCCCCTCCCCCCCTCCCTTTCCGCCCAATGTCGAAACGCCGAATAAGAAGACGTTCTGCTGGCATCATGATGGATGTTCGAATCGGTCCTCCTGACACGAGGACGTCGACAGTCCATGAATCTCACTTGTTACGATCATCGTGCCCGATCTCGAGGTCTTTCGGGAGGATGTGTGCCAGACGGAGATGGGGTGGGTCTGCCGTTGTTTTCGTGTTCGGCCTCATCGACTATTCAGGCCTAAACCCACCGAGAGTTTGGTTTTGGGAGATTCCATTTGCCCCCCATAATCCCCTGTCGCGGTTTGTCTAAGTCCCTTGGGTTTCAGCTTCGGGGTTCTATCCAGCTGCCTGCGGCAAGTTCCGCAAATGTGCCAGCGCAGCGCTCTGTGTGACGACGCTTGGAGCACAGGCCGTAACATGTGACACCTCAGGTCTGGACCCCTTGCGAGGCTTTCGTGGGGCCGACCCGGGCCGGCTTGGGCTCCTGCAGAGCCGTTTTGGGGTCCTCTTGGGGCCCTTTTGTGCCGTCCTGGGGCCCCGTCGGGCCGCTCTGGGGCCGTCTTATGGGCGCCTTGCGTGCCGTCTTTTGGGGCCCTGTCGGGCCGTCTCGGGCTTCTGCCTGTTCGGTGCCCCGTGACTGGGGGAAGGAATCGGCAAGGAGGCCATGGGATCTTTCGGGTCAGCGAGGGACTCAGTGACAGACTCCTCTAACTGGTCGGTGTCCACCATGATCGCAAACCACGCCCGCCTGACCTGGTCGGGGCCAAGGTCGCGCAACACTTTACGGAACGGAAACTCCGCGTCTGCCTGGGCCTGGAACTCCGGGATCCGGGTTGCCCTCAAGAGGCCCTCCGTGACGGCGCTGCTCGCAGCGACGCCGATGGTTCCGTCGGCGGCGACCTCCTTGGTGATGCTGGCGAGCACCGCTGCGTGGATGGGACCTGACGGGGCGCAAGCTGCCGCAATCGCCTCGTCAATGAGGGCCTTGACGCGGTCCTCGCTGACTGGAGACCCCATCCCCGCGACAGTGGTGGTGTTCAATCGGCAGATCCGCTGATGGACCAGCTGAACCGAAATGCGGCAAATAAGAACGTCCCTGAGCATCCGCGAAGCATGGGCGGTCTGGGGAGCAAGGGGGGGACATGTGAAGAAACGAGAAATCGAAAATGTGGGATGTCCCAGCCATCGACAGTCATAAAATCCCAGCAATGCACCCCAATAGCGGACAGGAGCGGGGGGCCATATTGGGGGGTGGAGGGATTGGGGAAGCATGTGCAATGCAATGTGTATTTTTGTAGGTGCGAAAGACCACAGGTAGCTCTGTCAGCGCTTGCGCTTCCGGCGGTTCGGAAGCCAGCTTTGAAGCACGATGTATGGAAGATCCGACGCTGGGCCTTTCGACAAGCCGCGATCGGACGGCCATCGGGAAAGGTCGGACCCGGCGGGCCACGATCTGATTCTGTGCCACTTGGATAGCAACGACGGACGGAACCATGGGGCTCCCGGGTCGTCAGGGCACAGGATGACAACGCGCAGGTCTGCGTTGACAGCAATGGCGGCATTCAAAAATTGAAAAGTCTCCTTGAGCAGCGCGCGCGGTGGGTGTGCCCACACCGCGTGGCCGCGCAGCTCGGCCTCGAAAGCGGAAAGTTCTGGAAAACGCCACTCGTGGGTGAGAGCCGTCATGCCGAGTCGATCTGCGAACAAGTCCAGCGTGAACTGAACGCCGCATCTGGATTCGACCTCTTGAAACAAGGTCTTGCGAAGTGCGGCGTCCCTGTACTGATCCTCGCGCCAGGAACGCGCGAAGTCCAGTGACCGGGATCCCGCGTCTGCAATGACGTTGCTCTTGCCAGGGATGTGCAACGCTAGAGCCCAACATTGAGCTGCCCGCTCGGCGCTTTCAAAACGATGCGCCAGAGACTCGAGGGAAGGTATCCGCCCGTAGCGCACATTAACGTAATGCACGGCAGCGGAATTGTCGAGCCTGAACAAAACTCGCCAACCCTTTAAGCAAGAGGACTCCCTGAGAAGGCACTGAACTGCAACCCACAACTCCTTGTAATTGATTTCCAAGGAATTGGGCTGCGCCTCCCGGGATTCGAAGTTGTCAGGCCACGTATCGGCGACAACGCGGCTGTCCCAACACAGATGGTATGACCACCCGTGCATTTTGGAGGCGTCGCACTCCACGACCCGGATTGCGCCTTTGCGGGCAAGGTTCGCCCAATCAGCGAATTCGGGAGATTTGTGGCCCCACATGCTGAGAGGGCCGCCGTCACAATGCAAGGAACGCACCGGGGGCGTACATAAGGCCGAGCAGATGTGCGCCAGGGCCGCGCGACTGAGATCTGAGAGAGTCACCGGGGGGTCGGCCAAGGGGCTGGCACGCCACGCCGAATACACCCCCGACGCATTAAAATCTGCCCAAAGAGGGTGCAGCCGGCGCCGCAACTGCGGAAGGAGCTCCGCGATGTGCGAAGCCAAACCTACTGCCGATGCTAACTGTTTGCTGCGGAGCGTGCGGTGTTGGTCTGCCTCGAGAACGGCAGCGCACAATTCGCGACAGCGGTCAGTCTTTTCAGGCGGCACGGTGATAATGCATTCGACGGTATCGAACACCCAGCCGATCCAGGTTTGTCGGCGTGCAGGTGCTCGGATGCCGCTGGGTTTGGCACTGATTGGGATGCCACACCGCAACAGGAAGCGGACAGCTCGACACAGGTTTTGCCAAGCCGTGGGTTCATCCGGCGCCGCGCCTAACAAGTCGTCAACGAAGTCTAAAAGGTCAACTTCGGTACGTAAGCGGAGGATTCTTAAAATCTCCTTCACATTGGCGTCGTTGATGCCAGGCGCGGGTCTGAGGCCGAATGGTAAATAATTGTATTTCCCGAACTGGCGTCTGCCAGGGGAATAGAAGCCGAGGGCGTACGAGTCGGCGTCGGAAACACGCCAATTAAAAAAACAATCGCGCAGGTCGAGGACGAACAACCAGGAACCCGCGGACATGCGGGCCACAGCCTGATCCAGCGTGCCGTACGCGACGTCGGCGTTTGGCATGCACTCGTTGACGCCCCCCCGCCGCAAATCGACGATTAAACGCGCTTTGAAGCGCTCAGATTCGTCGGCCTCGGCGTCCGCCCCGGGGCGCGGCTTCAGGATTAAGCCGCACGGGTTGACGTTGAGGTGTTTGGGCGGAGGGGCATCAGCCGGGAAGAAGGAAACTTTCCCCGACTCAGCCAGGCGGTCCCATTCGCGTTCGGCCCACGCGAGCTGGGACGTGACGGAAGGATGGTTGCGCACCTGCCTCGGGACGACAGGCGACGCCCCGAGAGAGTGCCCGTGCCGCCAGGAATGCAGCAGGGCGGGGTCCGCGCCATTCGCGGACAGGAAATCGAAGCGCAGGTGAAGGCCAGGTACGCCCTCCCATTCCTGTAGAGCGGAATTTCCGTCTCGGACCTCCGCTAAGAGAGCGTCCATCGTCGGCCCGTGTTGCTTGAGCCAGCGCTGCGAGGAATTATGCGGCAGAGGTTTATGGGAGGGGGGAAGGGAGGAAGGAAGGGCGGCAGTGTATGCAGGGGGAAAAGGAGAGGGAGGGGCAAGGATGGGAGCGGGGGAGGGGGGAGTGAAGGGAAACAGGATGGAAGGAAGAAGTGAGAATGGATAAAGAAATCAGCAGAAAGGGGAAGACGAAGGAATACTGGATGAAGTGAGATGTGGTGCAGCCAGGACCGCTGACCAGCCGCCTCGGACCGACGGGTGATTGTTCAAAAGGAGTGGCGAAGTGCCAGGACACGAGTGGCGCGGCGTGAGCTGTCGCGAAGGTGCCGCGGACACGCCCGAAGGGAACTCGGGATGTTAGGTGAGACGTGTTGCAGCTAGCACCGCTGACCACAGCCGAACAGCTGACAGGAGAAATGAGCGCCGACCAGATGTGTCGACGAGTAGCTGGCAACGGAGAGATTTGGCAGCTAGGACAGCTGACAGGAGAAGAGCCCGTCGACCAGGGGCCTCGACGGGCAGCCGGCGGCAGCGCGGGGACGGCTAGACCCCGACCCTTGGAACAGGGCGCCTGCGCGCGAGCCGAATCCAGCAAAACGCACGAGGGGCCCGAAAGGGAGACGAACCGAATCCCGCGAACCCGCAGAAGCCCCTTTCCCGAGCGCACAGCCCCCTAAGAAAGGACGCCACCCTTCGTGCCATCCTGGGGCCCAGTCGGGTCTTCTCTTGGGCCGTCTTGGGCGCCCTTCATGCCGTCCTGGGGCCCCGTCGGACCGTTTTTGGGCGCCCTTCGTGCCGTCTTTTGGGGCCCCGTCGGGCCTTTTTGGACCGTCTTGGAGCGCCCCTCTTGGTCGTAGTGTCTGAGTCTCTGAGCCTCCGGGGGATATCACGGGGGCCTCGCGGGGCGGCCCATGTCTCCAGGAGGGGACAAAAAGCACACAGGCACAATGAATCGTCGACTCCCCAGGAAAAGATGGGAAGATATGGGAAAATTGGGGGGACGACAAGAACCCAGAACATATGGGAAAATATGGGGAATCCTGTTATTTGTGTGTATTTATTTGTGCGTCCGAGGGCCCCTTCACATGTCTCCACTTCCTTTTCCGCCATTCTCGTCCTCGTCGTCGTCGTCGTCCTCCTCCTCCTTCCTCGTGTCCTCCGGCACTGGCCACCCGTCAAGGATCTTGGACGTTTCTGATCGTGTCGAGCTTCCAGGGCCCTTCGGAGCCTCTGGGGACCTCTGGGGAGCCTGCCCTTCCTGGTCGTCATCGTCGTCGTCGTCGTCGTCGTCGTCATCGTCGGTGTTCGGGCCAGGTGAAGACCTGAGTCACCGAGCGCGTTCCACTACTCGCAAAGTGCCTACTCGCAAACGTCCGAAAAACACGTGTCCGCTTTGATGTAATTTGTCGTAGATCCTCCGCGCGGGATCCAGACCATTTGCGAGTAGTTACTTGGCGAGTAGTGGAACGTGCTTGTCTACAGGTGCAGACCTGAGGGGGGATCCGGGCTGGTTTTTGGGGAGCACACGCAGGGTGGCGTGTCCCAAGACGAGGCGTCCCAGACGGTGGGGACGTCGGGCCAGGTGGGGAGGCCTCCAGAGGAGCTCCCAAAGGCAAGTGTTGCGTCGGGCGTGTCCCTCTACGGGGGTGGAATAGTCAAAAATAGCAAAAAAATAGTCTGGGGACGATTTTCGACTGTCTTCGACCATTTTTGGGGTATTTCTTGAGTATTTTTATTTTTCGTCCAAGATTCTCCTGTAGGAGGACAGGCCGACTTAAGGCAAGTGTCGTCCCGCTCCCTGGGGAGAGCGCGCACATCTTTAGCAGATTCGCTGGAAGGGGGATGATGATGATGATGATGATGATGATGATGATGATGATGATGATGATGCTGATGATGCTGATGATGACGATGATGATGATGATGATGATGATGATGATGATGATGATGATGATGACGATGATGATGATGATGATGATGATGATGATGCTGATGATGATGATGATGATGATGATGATGATGACTGATGATGCTGAGCGAGGATGATGATGATGCTGATGATGATGAATGATGCTGATGAAGTGTTGATGATGAAGATGATTATGATGATGATGAGCTGATGATGCTGATTGATGATGATGTGATGCTGATGAATTACGATGATTATGATTAGTGATTGATGAATGCTTATAGGTGATAGGTGATGATGTTTACGATGATTATCTGATGCTGCTGATGGTGCTGGATGAATGCTGATGATGCTGATGATTGCTGATGAATGCTGATGCTGCTGCTGCTGTGATGATGATGATGAGGATGGTGATGATGGTGATGATGATGCTGATGTTGATGATGATGATGATGATGATGATGATGATGATGATGATGATGATGATGGTGATGATGTGGATGAAGATGATGATGCTGAT